GAATCTTCTTTGTCTAACGCCAGCATTCGATTTGTATGCATTCAGTTCATGATGTAGTCAATCTCATGCAACGTAGAATCTGTCCTCCATGTACTACAACCGTTCAGTGCAGTCCGTCATACGACTTCCGTATATTGGTGGTGATCTCGTGTACTCCATAGTGTCAAAGAAGATCCCACAAGGTGTTTCCATTCACTCCGTCTAATGTTTTATTATAGTCGATGAAGATGATGTTTTTTGATCAGTACTATTCAGTTGATTATTCAGAAATCGTCTACAGTTTCTCGATTAGGTCTATACATGATTGACCCATATGAAATGTAACTTGTTGATCTCGAAGTCGGGCGTCTACTTATTTACGAATAATCCCAGCTTTCATCATGATGAATCCTGACTCGGTTCTACGAATACCATTCAATTCCCAAGACAGAGCCTAGACAGATTAATTGGTTTACTCCAATTAGGATATAATTTTTGAGGTTGTCTTTTAAAAGTTGCGGTTGCTAAAATTACGTCTGACTTGAAGTTATTATCGACGGTAACTCTGAGAAGGCTCTTAGGAGGAGTTGATATAGGTGAAATTAATTCCTATCTATTCATGTGGTGTTATTTAACGATGCAAAACTATGTTATCTCGTATTAGGTTTCACAAAATACCTTATGTGGAATTATAAAGAAGGATTTGTGTGAAAAAAATACTTATTCATTTTGTATAGTTTTTAAATCAAACCACGTTGCCATGACATTTTTTATTGTCTTTAAGTTTGAGAGTTAACTCCAGAATTCACGTGATTAGATAAATTGTCTTTAATTATTAAACAAAACATTTAATATGTTTCATCGCTTATCAGAAAGTCATTTCACACGAAAAGAGTTTAAGAATACTTGTATAATGTTTAATCTAGTAAATATATTACCTATCTAACTGTGTTCATTTGTGATTATGGTATCACTTCAAAATGTTATTTGATCATTTTATTTTATTCGAATTCAGCTTTTATTAAATTACACTTATTTTAGTGATTTACTAAATCTAAATTCACTATTTAAGAGATAACCCAAGTTAATTCGAAGTCAAGTTTTTCCTGATTTCAATGTAGAGTTATAGAATTCTATAACGCTAAATCCTTTCGCTAATAGGCATCTAAATTATCACTTAACCATTCACAATTTTGTCCATAGTTTAGGTTTGTAACCAAAAATTTCCTCATTCACAATCTCTTTTTATTCGTATTATATGAAAACTGATATTTCTCTTCGCAATCATCTTACGCGAGACGCTACTGATCAAAATCAGGGAATTAAAGCTATGTTGCAATAAATAAAAGAAGTTCGTTTGATTTTGTTCAATAAAGTGAATGAACGATATTTCACTTACTAGGAGTGATGTAATTCTTTGTGTAATTTTGATGCGTAAGCTGATGAGTCACAGTATCTGAGATCAGATTGTATAGAATTAGTCAAGTTTGTTTCTGATAAAGACTGCTCTCATAACTAATTAATGGTTCCTATCATTGAAAAAAATTAGTGTCATACAGATGACCTTATCCATTTCTGAACCCTGAAAGAAGGATTTATTACCGAAGTAAGGGCCTGATATTCTTTCTAATCTAGCTACTTTTCATTCAGATTATTATGTTTATTACTGAAGTGTTCCTGTATTCGTATTCTCGTAGACAATATTTCACGTCAGTTTCTCCTTATTGTGTATTGTATTTTCATATGGAATTTAACGAGCATAAATAACATTATGAAAAAGAGATAAAAACATTACAAGCTGAAGAATCGTTAAACTGAACTTCATCCAAAAAATGCCGAAAAGATACTGATCTTTAATTCTAATTGTTATCTATTAAATAACTGGTGTTTCCTAACATTCAATATCTAATTATCCTCGTTGCTTGAATAAAGTAATAAATGTTCTCTATAATGTCATATACCATACGTGGCATTTGATAGTCAGAAAAAATCTCAATGAAATTAGTAACATTATTGACTATTATAGCCTAATAAACTCTGTTCATTATCTGATAGTATCTAAACATATTTGATTTTCTTATCGTTTTTTTCACTACGCTAAGCAAACAAACGTCTCAATAAAGGATTGGATGTATCTTTAACGTTCAGTAATCAATCGACAAAATCGGAGAGCATAAGGAAAAACACCTCAAGAAATTAACATAAAGTTCTTTTTAGGTGGACAATTAGTTGCATCCACTGTGATCTACTAAAATAAAATTTAGCATAAACAACTCTGGATCGTAGTTGTCAAAGCATTGGGCATATTGGACTTTCAGTCATAGGTACTTGACATAATTTTAGCTCTTATTTATACGGTATGGATCTATGTACCATAATATCGTAGAAAATATGACGAAATTCGATCACTAACTGTGTAAAATTGGCTAGAGTGAGGCTATATTTCTTCTGTTTGTCAAGTATGGTTGCCTATAAATTCAATAAACTGTTCAGAATATTCAGCTGAAGTTACGAAATTTTAAGTAAATCCAGGTAAGCTTCGAAAACCTCACAGTAACCTTAATCCAATAATTTTTACTCATCTTGCTCATCGTGACCTGCCGCTTTGAGAATAATAAGTCTTATATGCTCCTGTGATATTTTCAGCATTTATAGCAAGGACATTATATTACAGATCTTTTTAAATTTCTACTGATACATAGCTCATTGATATATCCCTGAAGTTTTCACATCAGGGTCACTAGTTTGTTAAGGTTAGTTCCCTTGATTGACCACAAATTTTACCAACCCATTTAACCAAGTATTTATTCTCTGGCTAGGTGTCGTCGTTAATTTCCTTGAGAATATTCAGAAGTAAGAATAGGATTTTTGTTGAGGCGTTTATTAGTAATCAGTTGGATCAAACGAGCACAGTGGTAAGTGAGAGAAGAGAAAGAATGTATGTGTATGAACATGTTTTTTTCTATTATCAGTGGAAATTAATGAATGAATAAAATAATTGACTAATCGTGTTTACAACCAATGAGGGTATAGTTAAAAATTAAATACAGACATGAATTCAGTCACTTTGACACGTATATACACGATGAATCAAAAGTCTAAGCCACAGTGAGTAGACAGAGAAAACATGATAAGGTTAACTTAAACCATTTTATATGCCATAGAAAAATAATAAGTTGAGAGAGGATTGTTACAAGTTCATCAAGATCTATGTATCGTGAATTAACATCTAATTCTATTGATTTACATTTTATAGCTAAAAACTTCACCTATATCAAAAATCATTCACTTCATCAATAAATGCTTAAAATAAGTTGATTATTTATTTACAACATAATTTGCTCATTATGTAAATTATCTTTGACTGTTTCCTTATCAAACTCTGATTATTAAGAAATATGTGAGTTAATAAAGATCGATTTGATTTGTTACCCCTGTATTCCGAGAACGGATTTATACCTGATGAGTAGAAAGCTGGTGTATTATATGAAATGTTTAATCGAAAGTGATTATTGAATGATACTGAAATTTAGATTATAATAATAGAGATGAAAGTTAAATATAACAAAACGTACTCCGAAATTTCATCACTAAACAGAAATCAGACATTATCGAAAATATTCCAAGCATCTTTAGAGAACAGAGGATGAGAACAGGAGCTTCTTAGTTATCTAATCATTTTCGACGTTTTCTCATTTGTAAACGAGATATGGTCACCAGAACTAAATGTGTCTGTCAATATTGATAATGCCATTATGGGTTTAATAAGCTGACTTATTGATAAAAGGTCTTGACCAACTGAATAATCTTTTAATTCGGGATCTTATTATTTTATACGAGAAGCCACTAAAATGTGACCTTATTCACAGATCAATGTAGTGGCACTTTGATCACATCGTCATAATAAATGAGAGAAACTTTATTCTCTTTATGGCAGTTGTAATGTATTCTCAATATGTTTTCATGAAATTCCTGAATACTACTGCATCAATTTATGTATCTCACTTATTCAAAGGTATTTTAGAACGGTTGTCATTTCTGTTATATTCTAATCTTGTTTCACAAGGATGAAAATCAAGTTATGATTGAAACTATACTTTTCATTACTTTGTCAGTAATCATAAACTAATCTGAAGTCGAAATATACATTCACACCTATGTTAAAGTCATTAGATTATTGAATGATTAATTTTATTGTTCTTAATTAGCCGAGTGATTGGTTGTCACTTGAAAATGTTTCTGAGTTTGTGTGTTATACAGAATAACTCTCTTAGTTGAGGCTTATCATCTACAGAATACCTATTGGTTTGAAACAACATGGTGAAGGTTTGCATCTGGACAGATGTAAATGTCAAACTATTCGCAAATTCTTTCCTTCTTATCAATGTATGCTGATCATCAGCATTTCTGTGAATAGTTTTGAGATGGAAAAGAAATTATGCTTACCGTTAAATGAAGAACATCGAAATCAGACATACTTTTCTTAACCCTTTTTTGCTTGAATTAAATGCTGATAAACTCGATTAGGAACCATCACCATTGGATGCCGGCTCAGTGGTCCAGTTGGTTATACGTTTGCGCGCGAGACCGAAGGCCCTGGGTTCGAGTCCCGCGAGCGGGGTCGTGGACGCTCACAGCTGAGGGATCCCACAATAAGACGAAACGGCCGTCCAGTGCTTCCTGGTTTTCAATTGTGGTGGTCTAACATCAATCGGTTCATGATTTCAATCGATTAGAAACTGTTTAACTTTATTTCGTATCTGATTTGTTATGAATATAATACTTTTCTAAAGTCACGTTCATTATCTTCAATGTTCTCCACAAACGATTGACTATACAAGCAAAGATGGATAATGGCTAGCAATGGAATTCAGGACGCGCGTTTCGTCCTACTTAAAACTCGTCAACCGGAAGCAGTTGCACCTCAGAGTTGATGTTCACTCTGGGACTCGTACCCGGTACAAACGCCATCCCGTTACCACTTAGCTACTGAGTCCTGATAGCCACCAGCTTGTGCAATGGGGTGAAGTTTTAAATTCACTTGATGCTGTTTATTTGTATCTTCCCATTGTTATTTAGGACTGCAATTGACCAGTCTTTTATTGGCATATGTGCATCCTGTCTGTCTAGATATTATCTTAATTCACAAGCTCTATAAGCAACAATTGGAAAATACAAGTAAACAACATCAAGTGAATTTCGATTACCTATACAGTTGAAATATTTTATCTAAAAAGTAATTTCGCACACATGTATGACGATTTATTTCTAAATTAACTATCTACTTAAATAATATTAAATGTTTTCAAGTCTTTAAAAAAGGAAAAAAAACTTTTATTTACATCAGAAAGGGTTTTTGTGGATATTATAGTAATTTTAATAGTTGATATCATATGTCAATTGAAGCCAGACCACTATCATTAGTATTATCATTATTATTATTAGAAGCTTTATTCAACATTATATTTTTGGTACAACATAGAATTCTCAGCATAAAGTATTTCAGCAAGTTTCCTTTTCTTATACCTTGATCGATTGTGACGATAAATTTTGAATGATGACCAGTTAGATGTTAGGAGTTCGGTAATCCACATTTGATTAATGTTCATTCGTTTCAATGCATATTGCCAGCCACCATGATGTCGCTGATTGTACCTTTTTGTATCCCGTACAGCGAAAGGTTGTAAACTTTTCATAAACGCGCCTGAATAGATTGTGAGCACAATAGACATAATGATGTGCTAAGACAAACAACCTAGATGCATTAGACGGCCGTTTCGTCCTACCATGAGACTATTCAGCAGTGCGCATTCACGATCCGCAGCTGAGGAGTCCCACAGTAGGACGAAACGGCCGTCCAATGCTTCCAGGTTGTCCATAGTGGTCTAGCTTCAATTGGCTCATGATCTCAACTTTTAAAATTTTATTTCTATATTCATTACCTAATTCATGTGAACCGAAATTACAATTACCAAGAGCGAAAACAAACTTTGAAGTGAAATATTATTTCTTATTTATCATCATTTTGTTGAGTCGGCTTTTGGAGAACTTCAACGGAGCCTCCAGAGGCCCAAAAGGAGCCGAAGAGTCCTAGCCAATCAGAGTATGATGAAGCATTTTAGAATTACAACGTAGCGTGCTACTATTAGTCAGTAGCATAATATGTCGTTAACGGATTTGCCGAAATATGATACTGATTTAACAAACGTTAACATCTATAAATACCCATGTTTTCTGTACAAAAACTAACCTTGGAGTAAAGTGTTTCTCTCATACTTCGCATCTTCTTTCTGGTGTTCAGTCGCTGTATAGTTCTAGCGTGCGGGTTATCAGAATAGCTTAGGAACGAATATAGCGTTCGATCAGCAAGGCTTAACACATTTACTTCATTTTTTTTGTATTTGAGATTAAATAACACATTTAACTATTACATTCAATAGGGATTCATTAGTTGATAACATTTTAGAGTTTTTGTTGTCAAGTGAAAACAATTTCAACTGGTCTTTTATCTTCACAATCTTTTCTCATTAAATAAATCAAATTACTTAAAAATAAAAATATAACTGATACTACACAAAACCAATATGCCCAACCAAATAAATAATTTCCATTATAATGTAAATGTTCAAGATGATTTAAATCCTTTTTAAATTTTATCCAATTAGATAAAGAATAATTACGAGAAAGATGTAACATTGAAGAAATTGTTAATATATTAGTTTGATTATTGGCAGTTTGAGGTACAAATATTTTCCTGTTCTTAATTGGTTGTTTATGTTGATTAAAAGTTAATTTATTCAATTGATAAGTTGTACTTAGTTCATATGGAAGATGACAAAGAAAATCTGCCCAAACAGACACGGAACTTAACAAACTAATAACTGAAAAAAGAATAAAAACAGCATTTAACTAATTTCAAAAAAAGAAAAATTAAGACTTTGAAATAAATATAGTTGTGTAATTAGAAGTATTTCTCACTTAATCTTTACACTTTGAAATGATACAAAGGTTAGATATCGCTAAAATTACTAACAATTTGGATTATTTGTATTACCTTATTACATTTTCTCCCATAGTCGTTATCAAGGATTTCAACTAATCAGTCTGTCTTTCCGTGAGTATCAACGTTGGAATGGTTATATTTCCAGCTGAGGAGTTCGTCTTAGATTTCATTAATAACTATTAATCAAATTTACGTAGATAAAACGATTTTGTTAAGAACCAAATTATGTATTGTTTTACCACCAAATATTTGACATTTAGGGTTTAATAATTTAAAAATCCAATCATATACGTTTTTATTCCCAGTTTAATTAGTCAAGTCAAGTTTATTGCCTTAAAGCTCACAATTCTGCATTATTATACTTGAAATGTACTATACCCGAAACTGTTCTCTACACTATAGATACAGTATTCTTGCAAACTTAATGATTGTGTACTGTTTTGAAACATGCTGTTTTATTAAGAGGACAGCGGAAAGGTGTTTTGTGTATGATGATCTCCACATTTTATATAATTTAACAGTGGTTTGAACAGAAAAGCTTAATTTAATTATGCCATAAAACAATAAAAAGAAGCTTGCTATTAGTAATTAATATGACTGACAAAAAGTATTGGATTTCACTACATCTAGCCAAAAAATTAAATAAACATTGAACCAACAGTTTCTAATTGTTTATCCTCTATCTTATAATCTGGTGTTATAAAGTTTCAAGGAAGATAATTAGGTTTCAATAGATTAAACAATTGTGTTTCATTATTATTTTAGATTTGAAGATAATTAATTTAAATTAATGCATTAATTTTTGTGCAGGCTTACTGTAAGCATGTATACAGCATTAATAATAGAAAGTATTGATTCCTCTTGACAGAATGGTTTGATCACATTATCGTTCTAGATAGCATCATCAGTACAAGCTTCAAAGAAATGGGCTTACGGAATCAGCTATGTGGGAATTTCAATGATGAGTCCTTTATGAGATCTATTTCAATGATTTTCTTTGGAAAACAGCGAATCTTTCACTATTAAACTATTAGTTTTATAACACAACATTACTAAAGTCCTCGTAGTAAGATAAGAATCGGCCCTTCTATGTTGACAATCATTAAATGACGTTGAGTATTGGAACTCTTTATCTGGGGATCATAAAAATGACCACATCCCAAAAGTTTCATCCTTTCATCTCACTGTCATTTTAAAATATAATAATGTGAGTCATGGATATCATCTTAACAAGTTAACTTTATTATTATTTATCATGAACATCGTAGCGTAAGTTAAATATTATCTTCCAGATATCCATAAACTGTAATCTACTGATAGTATTTTCAAGATTGTTGGTTGACGATAAAGATTTCACGATTCACATAGACCATTACGTAAAAACAGTTAGTGGATAAATTACATAAAATGGGAAATATTTTATTCCTGTCCCTAATAAACAGTGCGTACTAGCGGTTTGACTCATTAGTTAACAACGTAGTCTTAAATACTAAAGTTAGTAGTTTATCCATTTTACCTTATTACTTTATCATAATCAGCGACATTATAATTGTTGTTTTATTACAGCCGAAATAAGACCAGAGTACAAGAATTTTATCTGCTGATTTGATCTGTTACATTTGTAGGGAAGGGTAGTTTTGCATCTACATTAATTTTAGCCTATTTTTTATTTATGAAATCCAAGTCTTTTATCAATAATGGGGACATGTCGAATATAAAAACCGTTAATACATAATAATCACATTATATAAAACTGAAAACCAAAAGGTAACTTACATCCAGCTATTGAATTCATGAATTGTGCTGTTTTATACTTTTTCGTCTCCTTAACATTGCAATATCTCATTCTCAATGCACCAATAAATGATGAGGTTACGCAACATATTGTTCCAATTATTGCAAGCCAACAAGATGCTTCACATTTAGCTGTATATAGGTAAACAGTAATGTAATTAGAAATTAATCATAAAATATGCCTTGAACAATAAACACTTACATTAAACAGTGAATGTGGAATAGGGAAATGAAAATGACTCACTCTTCAAATAAAAGTAATGTCTTTTTCTTCGGGTATTCATATTAGATAAATGAAACGACTTAAGGAAAAGCATTATCCTTATATTTATCATTTGAGACAAATTTTCATTTTTACCTACTAGAAACAAAACATTCAACATAAAGCGACATCAACTCAAAAATAAAAAAATACTGAGCAGTACTGGGTATGTATTTTTTTAAGTTATGCGATTGATCAATAGAACACAATAACAACACAAAGTGTCATTTAATTTAATAATCTAAAGTTTCGGGATGAGTATAATTAGAACAATCCATATTATAGGATTACGATAATTTACTTTAAGAAATTCAGTGAATTCAGACTTCAATATGCCAACAGTAATTTTACTATTCCATTTGACAATAGACAGTTGTTGTAAGATCTATTCCACAGTCGACAATACTAATCAAAACAACTGATAATTTCAGTGAAAAGCTGACAATTTGCTGCAACACAAGTTTTTGAATGACAAGTTTATAATTTGTTTTAAACGGCAATGCAACGCATTTTCTACAGATTTTTAATGTTCGTAAAATGTCTATATGAAATAACTACTTTATTTACACGAACATCTAAAGGAAAATATAACTGAAATGAAATTCAATTATTTGCCGTTCCGAGACTTTTAAAGTACAGTTTACTCACTTTAAACCAAATATTTTTATTTGTTTGGATTCATAATCAAAACACATTATGTCTAAGATCTGTAGTTCAAATGTATGTTTTTGGTTATGTCCTCTTGTAGTGAATGGAAACTCAGGTGTCTTTATAAAGTATGAAAATCATGCATTAAACATATCGTTAGGTCCGGACGAGGATAAATGGATAGTAACCGCTAGTAATTATTTATGGACCGTTATTATATATATTCTTGTTCTATAACCATTAAGTAACTATACTATATGCACATTCATATTCCTCTTATTATGAGCCTATATTTGACCCATTGACTATTATTATACGATTTATCATTCCTAAGATATTACCAACTTATTAGTATCAGTCTCTCAAAATCATGGCCACTTTTCGGCTTGATCTTGTATAATTTTTATTTTCTATTTTATGGTATGATGCGGTCTGGTTTGTTTGTATATAAACTCAATATATCTGGAATATATTATCTGTATAACAGAGGCTGATATTGGTGTTCCGGACTAAACTGGTTGAGTTAGGCGAGAAGCTAGTATCTCGGTGGACCATTAAAAACTCAGAATTGACTCTGCACTGCTCGGAACGGTTTATGCATCATTGATCTGTTCAGTCATAAGAACATGGCACACATCATTTACATATCTTCTTTAAATAGTCCTTTACATACTCCACAATTCTTTTAATCATGCTGATATTCCATTTTCTCTATGTTCCCCTTCCTTTCCTCTTCATTTTAATATTCTGCTGTTAAGCATTCCACTTTCAATTCCTGCTACATACTGCTTATTTCTGTCCACTTAAGAAGCGTACACCACACTCTGAGCTTTCAAATGGAATAATCGCTGACGATATACAGAACGACAATGAAATCATCATGATAAAAAGTTAATATCATCTGGGGAACTGATTTTTCTGAAGGTAAATTCAAAATAACACATTAAATCCAATTATTCGCTACGTCAACAACCTATGCTCTTGGTATTTTACTTTCAGGGTGATATCTAGAGTCTAATCAATCACATTTGTGTCAATTAAAACACAAATATTTACTAGGCTCTATAATTGTTTTCATAATCACCCCTGAAACCGAACAACTCAATAAGATAGATTTATAGAACAAAAATTCATTTTGAACTAGAGAATATTAGTAAATAGTAAAGGTTTAATCATTCCCACAGACGGGTTTGGACCTCATAAACTAGAAAATCAACGGTATGATTATTCAGTTTTCAGTTTTTAGACCATGAACATGTTCCATTATGTTCACGCGAAACTTGCTATTGATTCAACTTCTCGGTCAAATTCATTTTCAAAGTATTTTAGTTATACACATTCTGTTATTCAAAAGTAATGTCACTCGCTTTAAATCATATAAATGTTGTCAGTAGTGAAGCATAACAGTGGATTGGAACAACATTTGTTTCACTGAATTTATAAGTTTATTGCTACACCGTTACATTACAAATTAAACTGTTTGTTAGACTAGAAACGAAAAAACAAGCGAAAAATAGAAATGCAAGAGTTTCTAGATTAGGAATAGTTTATTATAGAGAGAAACAAGTGATGTATTTCCGGGATTCAGCACTATAATTTAACATTAAAATGGTTACTTAATACAGACTTTACAAAAAAAACACGACTTGAGTATTAGAATTATATGCTTAGACACACAAAATGTAATGAACGATTATACCTTTATATTTTAAAAATGAAGTTAACTTAAGGAAAACTTCAAAGTGAGATTGTATGAGATAGTCTGTTGTATTTGTTCTCAATACTTATTCTAAAATCGACAAAAATTGATTGTTATGAATGATTAGCACTCGTGGGACTCGATGTTTAACATAAAGAAAATCACTGAGGTGAACAAGGATTCTGAAATATTTTCGTTGGACAAAAATTCATCAGTTTCTGTCGTACAAACCGAATAAGTCAATAAAATATATTTTTATGAAATTGGTCATCTTCACAAACATCATAGTTTATCATCATTAGACATGGTAGTTTTACAATCAAAAAATTCTAAGTGCTTTAAAAGAAACTTACAAAACACCATACCTTATTAGCGTGAAATTATATTTGAACTAATCGCATCGACTGAATTAAAATAATTCCAAAGTTTCGTCCAACAAATCTGTTTAGACTTCAGGGTAATAATCAAAATCGATATCATTTGCAATTTCACTTGCTGGCATAATTTCAGACATAATTTTATACAAATTATGTCTTCTATATACTCGACAACTAAACTATTGGTTCTAATATTGACGAAAATTGATATAAAACATCATATTGTTTTTAAAATACTTACAAAAGTGTTTCACAGTAAATATGGCTGAAATTATGTGTATTTTTTTGTCAATTTTTCCTAAAGGCATATGTTATGTAGTAGATTTGTTTAAATTTATAAACGTTAATCGTACACGGTATTTATCTTAGAGAGATGTTCATCTTTAATAAAATTCTATTTTTTTTATTGGGGAAAATCAAATTACTTGTATTTCTAAAAACAATTAACTGAAATCTGTGCACACATTTCTAACTTTTTTTGACAGTTTACTGGACATGATCTCCAGTGGTACACATTTACACAATAAGTCACACGACTCACTGTTAATACTGGAAATAAAATCGTTTACAACTCAAATCCTCAAGACTATATATATATATATATATACTCCAATAGTTATTTACCAGCTGAAAACGATTTTTTTCACTGCACGAAATATAGTTTTGTTCATCTAGTTTCATTCGAAAAAAATACCAATTCACGTGCTTTTATTAAACACGGTTCAATAACATGATTATGATAAGTCTTTCTGGCTTGTTTCAACCAGTATGAGAGAGAAATGGTTGATCTTTGAGCTTTATATTGAATTCAGTTCACTCAGTAACTTATTGCTTGTGCAGTTGTTTATAGATTACGTTTGAGATATCTGAAATAACAAAATCATTTTATTTTGATTAGATAATAACTGGAAAAAATGTCTATTGAAGCTTAGTAAATGCTTCGATATAATGACGTAAACTAAACTATCAAGTACGAGTGTTGTGAATGTTTTATTGCCATTTTTTTTCTTTGAAAACTTTAAGCTGATTAAAAAATCAGTGACATTTATCTCACATAGTTTTTTTGTTTTATAACTTAACACAAAAGTTTGTTCAATAATGGAGAATTAAAACGGGATATTTTCGTTTTTATCTATCCTGCAAAGAAAATCAACAAACACGTGGGAATCCCATTCTCCCTAAACGTGGTGTATTAGCTGGACCGGAAAATAAAACTTTCGTCATCGTAAATGAGTGGCCATTAAAAAGATTTGTAAAATATATTTTTTCAATAATTACTATATAGAGCATGTGAACTGTGGACGTTTTAAAAGATTATGCAACTGGTGCCGTGAATTTCTTAAAACATTTATGGTATTATAAAACCTACTATTATTGTTATTCTTAATGATATACGTGTATTCACCACTGTTGATTCTTATTAATTTGTTCATCAATGAATATTAATAGTTTCTTTTAGTTCAGATAGTTAATTAATGAGAAAGTTGATTGACGTAAGTTGTGTTAAGTTTTTGAAGAATTATTTTGTACATTAAATGATGAACAATATATTGAGAGATAAACTCAGAAATTAGTACAAAGAATAATGACCACTTATCGTCTAAGACCGCTCTATTAATTTTCTTACGGAATAAACTTTGAAATAGTTGTTCACTATTTTTTTGGCCTTCAGTAGTTCTTTGATCGAAGCCTACTTTCCATAGGAATAATCTTCAGTAAACATCCGCACCTTCGAATAATTACCAAAATAAACTGACCAACTAACTTATTGTTTCTGTTCAAAATTATGTGTGATCAAACGTTATTCACGTTTTTATCAAGTGGTAAGGACAATAACTTACTAACTGTAGTCAGTTTACTACAAGATATCTCATCTTTTATCATGTGGCTTCTTAAAGGTAGATATTAGAAGAGAACGAATGCAAAACGTATATGTTATTTGAAAAGTTAAATTATCATAATAACTACCAATTATATTTTCTCAAAAAACAAATACTGGGACAAATCTCGGATTTTAAAAGAAAAACATCTCTTAATAAGTAAATGTTCAAAGTATGAAAGTAAACGTTTAGAATAAAAATATAAAAGAATAATGGTATCGAATATTTAACCAAATCTATAAACGACGCAATTTTCAAGCAAATGA